GTAAAATACCATTCTAACAATAAAGAAGAACAAACCAATTTTAAGAAATGGACAAAGGACTTGGAGACAATTTCTCCAAAGGAGCTATACAAATGAAGGCTGAGCAGATGAAGGTACGCTCAGCATCACTAACGATGGGGCAGCAAAGACCAGTTCACATCATTTGAACAGGTTTCACTCAAGAGAATAAGAAGAGGGGAAGGAAAAACAAAGCCGGTGTGAGGGTGTGGAGCGCTGGATCCCATGTATGTTCTGATGAGAAAGGAAAACGATGCCGAGGCTGCAGGTCTTCAAAAACGTTCCGCATAGAACTGCCATGAGAGCCCACAGTTTTCCTTCTGGGTAAATACCCAAAGGAGCTAAAAGCCCAGGCTCCAACTGTTAACACGGACATGTTGGCAGCAGCATGATCTACCCACCGTAGCCAAATGATGATGACATCGTGTGTCCATCCCTCGCTGGAGATAAACACAGCCTTAAAGGATTCTGACATCCGCAGCAATATCAAAGGACTTTAAGGACATCATACTAGGAGAAATAAACCCATCGCAAATCATGGATAAACAGCATGTAGTTCCATTGTGGGAGCCGCTTAGAACAGTCAGATTCATAGACTGGTGATTCCAGGAGCTGGAGGCAGGGGAGGACGAAGTAAGTTGGTGTGTATTTATTTTGTGTGAGTGCATTTGCACGTGTGGGTGCAAAAGGGAGCCAGGGCACAAACTTAGTGTTGCTCCTTAGAAACCATCCGTGCCTATGCATTTTCATTTTCATTGTGTTTGCGTTCATTTATTGCTGTGTATGTAGAGAGCACCTTTATCCACGGAGCCATCTTACCAGTCCCACCCTGGTTTTGGAGATGGAATCTCACATTGGCCTGGAGCTCACCGATTAGCTATACCAGCTAGCCAGGGAGCCCCAGAGACTCTTCCGTCTGCCTCCCCAGCATTAGGACCATAGATACGTACCACTGCACCCGCTTTTTTAAAAACACGGATTTGAGGTTCGAACTCGGGTCTTCATGCTTGCTCAGCAAGCACTTCTCTGCCTGAGCATCCTCCCAGCACATGAGCTAGCATTTAATTGGAGCTTTAGTTTGGGATGATGATCTTCTGAAGGAGGATGGTGGTGGCAGCTGCACAGTACTCAGTTCAGCCCGGCTGTGGTGGCGCACGCCTTTAATGAGGGAATCTCTGAGTTGGAGGCCAGCCTGGTCTGTACAGTGAGTTCCAGGAGAGTGAGTTTTCCAGACAGAGAAACCCTGTCTGGAAATTCAAAATAAACAAAAACCACAAAATAAAACCAAAAGGTCAAAGTAGCAAAGCATACATTTTACTACAATTTAAAAAACAAACCAAAGACAAAAATGAAAGGGCAGGAAAGTCAATTTGCTGGGCAGAAGAACTTGCCATACAAGCCTGATGGTTCATTTCCCAGAACCCGTGGTGGACAGAGAGGACCAAAGTTGTCCTCGGACTGCAGGAACATATTACACAGGCCCAAATTTCTACCTCGAATGGCGGCCAGACTTTCAGGCCACAGTGTGCACCTGCCACACAGGAGGTGGTCACCTAGCCTTTCCCGACAAACTGACACCATCCTAAACAAAGGGTCAGGAGATGCTAACGTCACTCTGCTCCTTCTTTGTCATTTGGGGGGGACGCCTGAAAAAGAGGTGTTAATTCAGTCTACGTGACAGAGCAGCCATAGATAGGAAGACGTGACAAAATGGGTATACAAAGGTGTGGATGTGACCACAATTATTCGCCTGGCTACCTAGGAAACAGAATGCTAATGAACTTTCCCCTCAGTTTATAGTTTGGTATGAAAGTTGTTTGAGGAATAAACATGGGTGAATTTCAGGATGTGAATTCAGGATTTCGTGAGGGAATCCCTGATAATTCCCTCCTGATAAAGTCATGTGAGTTGTGTCTCAATTATTCCCATGCCTCCCCGCTGGTCCGAGAAATACTTTATGGTCCAGGCTGATCCTGGATCATGACATGGACCCCCACACACGTATGTGCATAAGTGGACATGTACACACATGCACACTCACACACACAATAATGAAATTAACAGTAGATGATGCCTAGAACAGAAGAGAAGCTGCTGGTCTTGTTGCATGGTGCCCTTGCTGTAGTAGGAGCTTCGGGCTGCATTCCTGCCACCCAGCTCCCGGCTGCCTGGCTAGCTTATGCCCCAAAATAATTACATGGAAATTTTAAACACTGCTTGGCCCATTAGTTCTAGCCTCTTAATGGCTAATTCTCACATCTTGTCTAAGCCATATTTAGTAATCTGTGTAGCACCAGTCTTACCAGGAAAGATTCAGCATGTCTGACCTGGCGGCTTGCTTCATCGTGTCTGCCCTGGAGAGGAGCTACATGGCATCTGAGCTCACTTCCTCTTCCTCCCAGCATGCTGTTCTGTTTACTCTACCCGCCTAAAGGCTGGTCTATCAAATGGGCCAAGGCAGTTTCTTTATTAGTCAATGACCTTCCTCCATCACCTTGCTGTCTGCAGAAGGTTCCTGCAGAGAGGCTTCTGGGTGGTCTTTTGTACTTGTGAGCTGTGCAGCCATAAGCTAGGCTGTGAGATTCCTCTACCTCGGAGAGTTGTGGGAAGGTCATCCTCACACCTGTAGAGGAGATGTTTCCTGAGGAGAATCCCTGTAGAAAGTTCACTGCGTCTGGGGAGATTACCTGCTGAGGTCCCCGAGACCCTAGCTGTTAGTTGGGTGGAGCAAGAGGGAAGTGGAGAGATCAAGGCGTAGTCCTCATGCTTCTCAAACTCTGCGTCTTCCAGCGCTCACCCCAATTCCGGCTCGCCAAGTCCTGAGTTGAAAGAAGACAGTAAAGCTGCACTCATTCCCTGAACCTGGCCGGTAGCCTATCCCAGAATCCCCCATTCCTGCCAACAATGTCAACAAGCTATCCTACAGCCTAACAAGCTGTCCCACAGCCTACACCTGACTGTTGTACCTTGTACGGAGCTTTTCCCTTTCCTCCGCTTCCTCCTCTTTTCCTTTTCTCCCAAGTCTTGTTATTGTAGCCCAGGCTGACTTCAAACTCGTGATCTTCATCTTCAGCCTCCTAAATGCTGGGGTTTTGGGCGTGTGTCACCACACCTGGCTGCCTAAGTTTCCGCTGAACCAGTGACATCTCAGGAGTTGCCCAGGTTACTGATGAGGCCGGGGGATGGGAGTGGTGATGGTCTTCGCACTCCCAGTATAACTTCCCACCTCACTCGGCCTTCCCGACACCCTCCTTGGTGCTGTTCGCCGATCCCAGGTCTTCTGCCCTTTCTCCTGTTTACATCTCCACCCACTCTCTCAGAGCTCAGCACACTCAGCTTCCATGTGGGTCTCTTCACTGTCAGATCAGCAGCTCGAGGGAGAAAGGCCCTTCCTTGGAGCTTCTGAGGGGTCCACCCTTGCTGGCTGGGTCACACGTATTCCTAGGAGAGGCCGAGAGGCTGTCTTACCTGGCTCCCAGTTTCCTTAGAGGGCTGTGGGTGTGGAGGTCATGGGAAACCTCTTCATAGACATGCTAGGTCGAGGAAACCTCCTTCTCCACTGGTGGGATGGAGCTGCTCCTCCAAGGATTTACCTTAAGGCTTCTGTAAGACTCGTTTTCTTCTTAGGAAGGTTCTAGTAGCCCAGGGTGGACTTGAACTCCTTTTTTTTTGTCTTAATAGAATATATTTTTTTAAGCTTTGACAATTTCATACATGTAAGCAATGTACTTCAGTCATATACACCCCAAACTCACCCTCCCATTCCCCCAGGCACCCCCAGCAGCATGCCCCCCTTTCCTTCATTTCCCTCTCCTCCATTGCTAATATAACCCACTGAGTGGGACTAATGCTGCCTGCGGATGCCGACGGGTCCTGTGACCTTGATCTTCAGCAGTGGTCACGGCTGCCCCGAGTCCGTGGGTACAATGACCCTGTCATGTCTCAAGCACAGCCTTTCCCGGAGCTCCTCCCTGTCCTCCGGCCCTTACGTTCCTTTCCACTCCTGTTTCACATTTGAGCTCGGATTTTTTTTCCTTTAAACTTTATTATTGTGGTGCTGGACGTGGATGTGGGGTGTGGAGGACAACTTCACAGAGCCAGCTCTCTCCTTCCACGTTGTTTACCTGTGTGGCTTCTGGGGGACAGACATGTGTGACAAGCCCTTTACCCATTGTACCCCTTCTCAGTCCGTCTGTCCCCCCCCCACCCACACACACCTGCCTTGAACTCTAAGTCTTCTGGCTTCAGCCTCTTTCACACTGAGGTTACACATATGCATCCCCACATCCACTTCCCCCCTGAGAATCTTGTTTTCTTCCCCCACTGGTCTTGCGCCTAAACTAGACTTGAAGCTTACCTATGGCGGCTAGCGGCCTTCCTGTTAGGAGCAAGGAGCGCTAACCTCAGGTGTGTGTGCGTGGGAAATAACTGCTATTCCCTAGCACCTGGGGAGGCTCCCTCGGGTATTCTAAGTGGCTACTCCTGCAAGTCTGCAATGGAAAGTGACCCAGCAAGGGGTGGCCCAGCCTCCAGGACAGTTGCTCTGGCCTCTGGACAAGTTGCTCAGGCTCTCTCATTTAAGTCTGCTGAGCATCACGCTGACGACTCCTGCGCCCTCTCGATGACAAAGCTAAGAAGCAGCAGCATGACTGCCTCCCAGCGGCCTGAACGGCCATCTGCTTTTAAGGTGCCCAACGAATCTCAGCTGCAGCAAACAGAACCTAGCTCAGACTTCCCCCCCAAGAGCCAGCCCTGCAGCTGATGACTCAGCATGAGTCAGGGGTGAGGGGAAGGGTCTGGGGGAGTCATATAGGGGTAGAACTTGGGGACCTAAGGGGCAGCATTGATAATAATCAGGAGTCCAAGCCAGGATGCTGAGTCTGCAATCAAAATGAATTCACAGTAATTCCATTAATGTCACTAACTCCTCTCTGTGTGTTTAGAAAGACAGATTCCTTACTTCAGGCTCCCTAAAAATGCAGTCCCAAACAATATCCGAATACTGTAATCAAATGACCCCTATTTCCTTGTAAAGGACTCACCCCACCCCCAAAGCCCAAGCAATTACGCAGGAGTCTCCAGAATGATGTGAGTCGAGATTTGCCTTTATTTCGTGTTGATTTGGGAGTGAGAGGCACAAGCACTAAGATGACGTCGACATCAGGCACTGGAGTGACCCCCTGCACATGCAGAACACATGGATGCTAACTCTGGATCAGCCACGGACTGTGCCCTGGAAAGAGAATGTCCCTGTCACTGCCAAAGCCCCTTACCCTCATTTTTATTCGAGATCCACATCATCCCAAGTCACTTCATCAAGTCTCAGTTATTGGATCTTCCAACACATTGGACTCTTTTGATTTTTAAACTCCTGTGGGCTCAGAGCCCCACCCCAGTGTAAACATGCATCCCCTACACAGAGAGTGAAACCCACACGGGATGCTGGAGCTGAGGCCGCATGCTTCACAGATGATCAGCAGCTTAGAAGAAAGGCTGCCTTTTTCACACCAGTGAGAGATGGGAGGGAAGGCTCAGCTTGAACAATCTCACAGTATGACCCCTGTCCGTCTCCTAGACCTGCCTGATTGCAGCTAGGCACCTTCAACCTCTTCCCTTGGGAAAAAGATGTCTGTGAGCTAACAGATAGAGCCCCCTGTGGACCAGTCAAATCACCATTTTCTTCTCGCTCTGCCAAGGGGATTTCTGAGGTTTGAAGCTCCCCACCAAAACCTGGCTGCAAGCCTCCCTAGCAATTTATGAGCCCTGTGGAATGTGGTAGCTACAAGCCCTCAGCCTCCAGCCTCCCTGCCTTCTCCCAGGGTAGCCTTGGATTTATCTTAGTCTCTCTCCCCAAGGTTTGGTGTGGTGACCTGCCTTGGAGGTGGCAGGGGAAGTGTCAGGTGCCTTTGCTCTCTGTCCTGTCCTCATCAGCTGTCTGAGCATTGCTGACTGTACGAAGCTGCCCCTGGGCCGCGGGCTTCACGGACAAGACCAAGCGTTTCCGAAAGGTCTCGCAGAGTACTATGTACACAAAGGGATTGAGGCAGCTGTTGGCGTAGCCCAAGCTGATGGCCGCATTGTACAAGTAGACAAACGTGAGAGTGGGGCGGCTGATGGAGAGCTGGGTCAGCTGCAGCACGTAGTAGGGTGCCCAGCACACAAAGAACACCAGGCAGATGGCGATGGCTGTGCGAGTCACCCTCTTTGTCCGAAGCCGGATGCTGCGTTGAGAGGCTGGGGCCACTGAAGAGGTCATACGCTGCAGTATCTTCACGTATGCAGCAGTGATGACCACAAAGGGCAGGGCGAAGGCCAGGAAAAACTGGTATAGAGTGAACCAGTAGAGGTCAGTGTCCGGGTTCGGCAGGCGGATGCCACAGCCCACAGCACCCCCTGGGAAGGGGATGAGCCTGGCATAGAGCCACACGGGGGTGATGCTGATGAAAGAGAGAGCCCACAGGAGGCAGATCACAAGGGTGGCCATAGAGGGCTTTCGGAATTTGGTGGAGGAGATGGGGTGGACGGTGGCCAAGTAGCGATCAATGGCCATAGCAGTCAGGATGTAGGTGCTGGTGAACTGACTATTGGCATCCATGGCGGTGATGAGGGTGCACATGGTTTCCCCAAAGTGCCAGACCCCATTGCCCATGAGCTGGTGGATCATGAAAGGCATGCCCAGGAGGAAGAGCAGATCCACCACCGAGAGGTTAATGATGAAGATGTCCGGGACGTTGCTGCACCAGTGTAGCTTGGATTTTTTCACCACGGCGAAGATGACTGTGGAGTTTCCCACAATGCCCAGGAGACAGATGGTGCCAAACACCGAAGGCATAATGATGTTGATGTAGGAGACACTCCCTTTTCGAGGAGGTGACCCTGAGGACAGAAGGAACAAGTGTGACCTGCCATCCGCTCCAGAAGCTGACAAGCTGCCATCCAGTGGCACTCCTGCTGACCTCTCGTGGTCCCCATTTCAGCTTGAGGTCACGATCATCTCCCACCACCTTCCCTCCCACGCTATTGTTAATTCTGTCCCTTACCCTCCTCCACTGTTCCCTGCTGAATACTCCTACCGAATTTTCTAGACCCACCTGTTACTCAAAAGACCTTCACGTCAGTCATTTACACAGAGGGCCGGGAGTCAAGACTCCCAGATGTCTGCTGAGAACTCCACATCCCTGAGGTTCACCAGGAATCCTTGTCAAAACAAAAAAAAACTTGAAGGACGTTCAAGAACACACTAGTGTGTGTGCACGCCCACATGCGTGCATGTGTGTGTGCGCGCGCGTGTGTGTGGTGTTTTCCTTATTTGCACACTCATCATTTCAGAGATAGCTGGCCAAAGGTTTTATACAGATTCCTAGGCATATCCGGGGAGTGACTGTCACTATAGGTGTGGGGTGTGTTTTAGGCTCAACAGCCCAGCCCTCTCCAGGCTCCCAACAGGGATTTCCTTGGGCCGTGTCTCCTGAGCCTGGGCTTCCCCAACAGGGCTGAGACTGATGCTGTGTTATACCCCAGAAGCTTGAGAATTTTCTCCACATAAGCCCTTCCCCTTCTCTCCCTTCTCCTTCAAAGCTAGAATTTCAGGGCATTGCCGTTCTGCAAATGTCAAGAAGCTTAATTCACCAGAAAAGTTAATCCTCTCACACCCTGTGAAGTCTTTTGCTCCCAGCAGCCTCTGCTAGAGGACAGCAAGGACCACTCGGACCCCATTACCCCAGTGCGAGGCTAGAGGATTGAGCCCAGGGTAGCGGTGAATCAAAGAGCTTCCGCTGGCTCCCACATGCTACCCGCCCGCTCTCCTCTCGCTTGCTTTTCCAGCCTTGATTCCCCCCGCCCCCCAATGCAAAGCATATTTGGGACTCATCCGCAAGCTTTCCCCTGTCTGCCTCACGCCTCGCCACCAACCCTTGTTATTTCTAGATGTACCTCTGCCCCATCTCTGTTCCTTCCTACCCCTTCTGTCCTAGCTGGTGTCCCCCTCCTCTCCTCTTCCCCTCCAGGCAGAGCAGACTGCAGATCTTAATCGCCGAGAACTGTAAGATAAAGTTTCGTAGGCAGTTTGGCTCTGGAGGTGAAACCTTCCCATTTTCCACACCCATCCCGGAGGAGGGAGGATCTAACTCGACTCACCGGCCAACGTGAGATTATCCTGGCCATCGGAGCTGTTGCTGGCGTTGGGGCCAGTGGACAGCAACGAGGCTTGCAGATCCATGCAGCCGGTGCAGGTCGCCTGCTCCCTGGAGTTGAGAGCCCGTCCACCCACGCAGGCTGCGGCAGCCTCCAGTGCCTGCCACCGCCTTGTCCCAAGCGTGAGCCAGCCCTGCAGTCGAGAAAAGGGTCTTCCTCTAGCGCCTGGCAGCCTCTGCTGCCTCTGAGCCCAACTGCTCGCCCCACTCCCTCCTTCCCAGCTCCTACTGACATCACCTAGACACATTAACATTCGGAGGCAGATGCACGTTAACCTCTTCGGTCCCGGCTGCAGCTCCCACTCCTGACTGCCTGCAGAGCAGCAACTAGGCTCAAGCAGCCCCATGTGGAGGAGCCTTCCTTCTTACTGGCTCCTGGGGCTGTCTCCTGAGCTCGCAGGGGTTGCCAAGCTTGCTTTGCATGACCATCCAGGTCTCGGCAAAGGCAAAAGGGGAAAGCAACCTGCAGGCTGCCCTGAGGAGCCTGGACCATGAGGCAGGAGCCAGGGGTACTGTTCCTAGTGCCGAGGACTCAGAGGCTAAGACTGAAGCACCCTTGGCTCTCAAGCATGCTGGAGGTCACCCTAGACCCTTCCTGCGTCCTGGTAACTTCCAAACATCTCCTTGGCTAGGCGGCAATTGCTAGCCCTTGCCTGGTGGGCCGAGGTGATTCTAGCTTTCCATGCTGGCAATAGTCAGAGTCTGGGGTGCAGAAAGACCAAACTTCCCTCGACACATCATCAATCTGGACCCACTATGGGACTTTTATTTTTTTAGGCCGCTGAGCTCTTTGAGGTTTTGCCTGGGACTCTGAGACAATTATCAGAGCATAAGAGACTAAGTCCACACTGAGATTAGCAATGGACAACAGCCTCAGTGTGCACAGGCATTAGATAATTCTCGGCAGAGGTTCCTGCTGCCAGCTCCAGGAGACTTCACCACCAAACGCTGTCATCACACCAGGACCAGATGCAGAGTCCGACTCCTTATCTGCCACAGTTGCCTGTTAATCCTTCTTTACGGACACGGAAGCACAGACAAACATCCCTACAGCTCCTATGAGTTTCAGCCACACTCTTCCTTGCCACCACTGGACATCAGCATGCCTAGTTCTTCAGGCTAAGCTACTGGTTATCCCAACCACCTCTTAGAGCTCCTCTTTCTTGGCCTCTTGGTCTGCCAGCTTAAATAGAGTCAGATAGGGGCTGAGGATGCAGCTCAGGTGGTAGCGTGCTTGTCTCATAGGCACCAAGCCCAGGGTTTCCTCCCCTGTGCTCATAAACTGGACATGGTGCATGCCACCAACCCAGCACCTAGGAGGTGGAGGCGGGAGGGTCCGAATTTCAGGGCCTGCCCCTTCACTCCCTCACACACACACACACACACACACACACACACACACACACACAAAGAAAATCAATTGATAGTTTAGCCACAGGTGCGGTGGATGGTTAGTGTATCTCTGATGGAACACCCCAACTCTGTGATGCCCCCAGACCTCCATGTCCCTTGTGGAGTCCGCGAAGGAGATGCTGGGGCGATTCCAATGAGAATGTCAGCTGTTTGAATCCTTGGTCCCCAGCTAGCAGACTTGGTTTGGAAAGGATTAGGAGGTGTGTCACTGGAGGTGGTTTTGAGGTTTCAAAAACCCATGCCTCAGTACCCCGTTAGCTTTCTCTGTTTTTACTTGCAGATCAGGATAGAAGCCTGTAGCTGTTCCTGCTACCACACCTTTGCTGTACCGTCATGGACACTAACCCTCCAAAAACATAAGTCTAAACTAAACACTCTCTTTTCTAAGTTGATCGTGCTGTCTCGATAGCAATAGAAAACCAAGACAGGTGTTCTCTGAGCCTCCCTGGAGGACTGGCTGGTGTGTGCTTTGGTCTCAGATGGTAAATTCTACGCTACCGTTGCACTTCTCTGAGTCTTCTGACTCCTCTCTCAAACTCTGCCAATTACCAGAGGCCAGTGGAAAGGATCAGTGGGGAGTTAGTGTTGAATGGGTACAGAGTGTCTATATAAGGAGTGGGAGAGAACCTTCTAGAAATTGATGTTAATGTTGGTTGAGCGACATCGTGCACACACTTAATATTGCTGAAGTTGACTCTTACACATGGTTAAGGGAGTGTGAACCTATCTCAGGGATAGAATGCTTGCCTGGTGTGTCCAAGGCCCCGAGCTAAATCCTCAGTAACACATACACAGAGTTAGAGTAGCCAATTTTATATTATGTATGTTTTACCACAATGCTAGGAAATTTAGTGGTAGATTTATGGATACGACCCAACAGCCATGTGAGGACATCCGAATTCTGCCAAGGTGGTGCTAGCACCTTTGTATGATGGCTGTGGGCCACTTCCTGGAGCCATCCAGAACTATTTTAGCACGGGCTCCAGGTGTCCTCCCAGTTTGTTCTATCCCATGTAGTAGGATCATCCCTGCCAAGAAATGCTCTCCTTTCAATTTTATATTTGGGCCACATGCTAGCACCCTGAAGTTAATTTCTATACATGCTCCGATTATTTTTTTCCAGTCCATAATAAGAGAATGCCAGTGTAGAGGGCCATATCTACAAATGATAAAAGTCCTTGTGTAAGTTATAATCTCAGTTGAGTCCTATCATACTTTCTAAACAAGGTCAAGCTATAAAAACTTACAGAGATGGGCTGGAAAGATGGCTCAGTAGTTACAGAGCATTGGCTGCTCTTCCAGAGGTTGTGAGTTCAATTCCCAGCAACCACATGGTGGCTCAAAACCATCTGTAATGAGATCTGGCGCCCTCCTCTGGTGTGTGGGCATACCTGGAGGCAGAATGTTGCATACATAATAAATAAATAAATCTTTAAAAAATTTTACAGAGATGGTTGTATCTGCTGGTCTGAAGTGTTCAAAGAGTTAGGGGAATCCTAACTCAAATTCATCCAAATATCCCCTAACTCAGATATCCAGATATTCTAACTCAAATTCATCCAGATATCCCCTCCTAGACTTCAGGGTTTCATTCTTTATCATCAAAGATCTGCTGAGGCTGTATATACTCCATCTTTTTTGAGCCTCAGCTACCCTTACCATTAGATTCTGAGTCTTATTTTCAGCACAGAGTGCTGTACCGCTGCAGACAATGACAGTCTCCTTGAACTGCTGCTCTGGAGACCTTCTGGCTTCCACTGTGTGTCCTGACTCTATAGCTGGTTATTTGAGACCTCCGTTTTCTTCCTCCTAGGCTTCCAAAGCAGGGCCATCATCCTTATGATCCCACACTTCACTGCTCTTCTGGGGAGACTGCACACCTCAGCACCTGCTTTTTTATTGTGTTCATCTCGGCCAACCGCAGGAAGGACCCTTTGTCACTTCCATGTCACTGCCAGGGCAGGGTTGGTCAGCATCTTGTTCACACCCCAGCAGTGGCACTCTTAGGGACAACTGACTGGTAACTGATGTGTTCCAGCATCTTACCTTGGAGGATCCATCTTCTGCTGTGACTCCTAGAGTTCATTTCCTCTGTTTGGGTTCCTCTGAAATCACAGACATAGACATAGACTTGTGTGTAGAAATTTATTCCTGGTGCGTGTCTAAGGAACATGAGTAAGAGGGTAGGATGAGCGAGGAACTTGAATAAGTAAAGTCGGTGGGAACTACACCTGAGTTTGTTGCTGTGGACTGTGGGAACCCCATTTCAGAACTGCTCAGAGGACTGAGGGTTTAGTTAAGGGGTACAGCACTTGTACAGCATGCATAAGGCCCCAGATTCAGTCCTCAGCCTCACACACAGAGAGAGACAGAGACAGACAGAGAGAGAAAGAGAGACTGACTCTTAGGATTAGTCACCTACAGTTGGGTTTATATTGACTGGTTCTTGTTCCCATTGGTGGAGACTCCTGGGACATTGGATCTGCCCTTCTGGACTGTTTACATTAGAGTCAAAAGTCTCTAGTGCGGTGATTCTCAGGCTGTGGGTTGCAACCCCTTTAGCATCTCTGTCTCCAAAAATATTTACATTATGATTCACAATAGTAGCAAAATTACAGTGATAAAGTAGCAGCAAAAATAATTTTATGGTTGGAGTGATCACAACATGAGGAACTGTATTAAAGGGTCGCAGCCTTAGGAAGGCTGAGAATCACTAGCCTAGCCTATCAGAGAGAAGTCTAGGGCAGAAAGCAAATAGACACAAGGCAAGACACTGCTGGGACAAGATGAATTAAGCTCATTCACCAACCCATTATAGCCAAAGCCGGAACCAGAGGTGGCCCAAGAGAACATGACAAGGATTTCAGAGGCATCTAGTGGGGGACTGTTTGGGGTCTGGCCAGGTCTACTGGATACACATGTGCATCTCTTTAGATCCGCCCACTACTCCCAGTTCATATGCCCACCATTTCTGCAGCAGCCACTCTTCTTGGTCCCCACCGAGCACAGGTGTCAGTGCTGCACAGGACAGGTAGGGCCTTCTGGTCCCTCCTCTCAGACCTGCTCTGTGTTGTTTGGCCCTCTGTGCAGGGTGTTCTCCATTTCTGCCTTCATTTAGAACATGGGAACCCCAAAATACCCAACCATAGCCCACCTAGAAAGCAGGGTGCATCTTCTTGGGGTGCATCTTCATTCAATATGGGATGAAAGTCACCTATAGTTGCTTTCACCTTGTTATCTCAGGATATGTGATCAGAGGCATTCCTCAGTGGTCCAGGGTCACCTGACATGGCACTAACCGGAAATCCTTGTGCCGTGTCTCTCGCTGTTCTCTTGCTCCTTTTTCATTCCTGATTCCTGGGATCACATGTCCCAGTAGAACACCCACGTGCCCCTTAGTCTCCGACTTTTTTTTTTTTTCTCCCTGGGGATCTGAGAGAGTGTGTGACTCACTACTGCCAATTGGAGTCCAGGAGAACTGTGGAGTTCGAGCCCTTTGGCAGAGGTTTCCTGCTTCTTGCAAAGACAACATGAAGGAATTATCTCCTTTGCTTCCTCTGAACTTTGTTGTGGCTGGAGGTGCCTCCTGGAACGCCTGCAGCAGGTGAGATGATGTGTATTGATTGGATCAATCAGGGTATCTGGAGAAACTGAAGGAGCAAGTGGGAAAGCAGAGAGACTTTAATAAAGAGCCTATTTATCAAGGTTTGGGTACCACGAAGGCGGAGTCCATGAAGGATGCTGCGACAGTGGCTGGGGCTGGCAACAGCTGGACATCATTCCTATCTGAACTGGGCAGCTAGCAGAACCCAGAAAGAACTGCCAGGCACTCCACAGACAGGAGATGCGAGGAACAATAGGCTGAGCTCTCTGACCACCTACCTTCTGATCTTTCCCTGTTGATACAGTCCAAAAATCATCCTCCTGGGGCCCAGGGCAGAGTAGATGGGGATAGACAGTGGATTTGAAGGAGCAGACAGAAAATTAACCCAATGGGTTAGGGACATGGCTCAATTGCTCATGTTCTTGCCTAGCGTTCAGGAGGCTCTAGGTTCCCTTCCTAACAGAGCATGAACAGGGAGAGGTGGTGTACCACTGTAGGCCCAGCATTTGGGAAATGGAGACAGAAGAATCAAATTTAAGGTCATCCATTTGAGACCAAAATGAGATCTGAGAGCCCTTGTCTCAAAAATAAATATGGGACTGGAGAGTTGGGTCAGTGGTTAGGAGCACTGACTACTCTTGCAGAGGACCCGGGTTCAATTCCTAGCACCCACATGGGAGCTCACAACTGTCTGTAATTCCAGTTTCAGGAGACCCAACACCCATGGCAACACACCAATGCACAGAATAGATAGATAGATAGATAGATAGATAGATAGATAGATAGATAGATAGATAGATAGATAGATGATAGATAGATAACGAAATAAAGAAAGAAATAAAAAACTTAGTGCCGAGACACAAGAAGAGACAGACAAGTTTTGTTAATAATCCTTGAAACAACAGTCTGCTACTATCCTTGTGTGACAGGTGAAGAAGTGGGTACCACAAGCATGGGTTTACCCAGGGTAGAGGCTGGAATGGAAAGCAGGGCAAATAGTGTACAATGGAACAGAGGAAGGGAAGTGATAGGAAGAGGGCCATAGACAAGGATACAGACTTGACAAGAATGCTGTCAATCAAGCCAAACTCCAGAGAAAAGCTGTCCAAGGTCAGATAGAAATGCCTGGGCCCCTAAGCTGCTTTATCCTGTCAATGCCTGAGATTCACCCCAAAATAAGTGTGAGTCCTAGCTGAAAAGTTGAGGCAACATTCCTTGATAAATAAAATCTAGAATTACCATATGACCCAGCAACCCTGCTTCTGGATTTTATATCCAAGGACAAGGTAACACTTATATCTCAAAGAGCTATCTGCTCCCTGAGTTTACTGCA